CAAGTAAAAACAGATGAAACAAAGTGTGAGTGAAGATAATGGAGAAAGAACAGAAAAACACGGCTTTGTAGCTAAAAAACAAAGCTAGCAAGTCTAATAGTATCTAAGGTTATGCTAACAGACATTTTCTAATGTTAACCTGGAAAACTGATTGACCTGGGAAGGAGAGGAATGTCTCTTGAGTGTGTGTAAGTGTAACGAGGAGCATGGAATTATTTTTCGTATTTTGAGAAGAAGTATGTTTTGGGTGTTTTTCTTTCATAAAAATTTCAGAAAATCTTTCAAAAACAGCATTTGCATACCCCTTGTTTCTTTCAGTTTCCATATGTATCCCTTAATAAAAACTTTTTGCCCCCCTTTTTTTTTTTGTAAATGAAAGTGTAGGGCTACAGAGATGTAATGGTTTATTCAAGATCTTTCTATTTCTTTTCAGCACCTGGGGGATGGGGCAGTTTCTGGGATTGGTATTTCATTTGATTTGGAGTGTCGAAACTCTGCCTTGGGAGGGATGTGCATTTTTGTCTGCAGGCAGTGTGAGATAACTCATGCCTGGGAACAGGCTTGTGCAAGGGCTACTTTGGCCTGACCCACAGCACGTGCCTGCCCTGCGCTGGAGGCAGTGGAATTTCAGAAGGTACCTATTGTCTTCCTGAACTGGTTTTTCTGGCAATGGACTGAACTCCTGATGCTTTGCACGCAGTCGAACAGGAGCTTTGGAAGTTTGGCTTTGGCAATCAGACTGAGGTAACATCAGGTGCAATCTGTGACTTTGTCCTTTCCTGTTGCCCTGCTCACAATACTGTGAGGGAGGGTGATAGCAAACCCGGTCCTGTAATAGTCAGACTCTTTATTGGTGTGTGAAAGCCTCTGCTGAAAGAAATGTTTAGAAGTTTATAAACACATAAAACTAATTGGGCAGACAAACCTTTACTGACTAAAGAGATAGTAAAAGTCTGACTCTAGAGACTTTTTCAATATAGAAGAAAAATCTGAAGTATAAACTTCCAGATAATAGTTCTTTTTACAAACAGTACAAATGTGTGCTGCCCATGTTCCAGGGACTCGTGTCTATGACTCTTCAGATGGAGAATTTGAAATGTTTTATGAGTTCTTCCTCCTCTTGCGTTATGGTCTTATGGACATTGAATTTTTGAGTCCTGATTATCACAAACAGGGAAATTTAAAACCCGAAATGTTTTCATCTAAATAATCCACCACAGAGATTATTTCTACTATACAAAAAGGAAGATAACTATGCTGGTTCTGTTCCTGCTTCCCGAAGGAGAATGGAAACTTCAGGATGTGCAAAATGTATAACAGCTTCTAGAAATTGAAGAAATCCTTGCTCCTGTTCTACAGGCAGACACAGTGATCTCTGGATTGATTTCTTTTTCCATAAGAACAGCAATACAGAGTATATTGACCAGCCTGGGAAGCAGACAGCTTCCAAGTGTTGTATTTTCCCTCACTATTCTGAATTACTGCTCTGCAGAGTTGTTGACCAAAGTTCCCTGAAAATTACTGCTAAGTTGCAATTTCTTATATAAAATCGGATTCTGGACTCTTTCTCTAGACCCTTTTCTTTCCAGCAGTAAGGAGGCACAGACATCAAATGCTGTGCCATTTTATAGCAATGGTGCTTAGCACCAAAATTCTCAAGGATCTTCATTTGGGACTTGCTACAGAGAGCATTATGTTTAGCCGGCAGCTGCTCAAGCTAGCTGAAAACCTGTACCTGTCAGTGGAAGTGAAAAAAACTGAAGACCTACTGGGGTTCAGCCTCTAAACAGTGGTCAACAGTTGTAGGCAAACTTTGATCCTGGGTCCCTCATTCACAAGGTGAATGCAGTGATTATGGGTTTAGGGAGGGGCAGGGGTAAAGGAAGAGACTGAGCAGTGAAGCCAGGACCTCAGCCAGGGCCTCACTGGGATAGAGGGTGCATCCCCTTTATTTTTCTTTTTTCATAATTTAGTCCCTTGGTGGGGGGTGGGAAAGATGTCTGTCTCTTTTTAAGTGTTAACATGTAGGTAGTAAAACAGAGTGGATTTAACATTGTACAAATTCGCATCTCAATGACTTTCTGCACTTTGCTTCACTTGGGAGACATTTCACTGAGATCCACTTTCATTTAGTACCAGGCAGGATTATCCCTGCAACAATATCCAGCACAATCACAGAGATGCTTAGGTGTTATGGTTCACATGCTGGTCTTCTTGCGGGTACAGGGGGTTGTAATTTTAAAATACAACCTGGTTTGTGTCTGCTACACCTTTAGAGTCTGCACTGGGTGGTTCAGAGCTGTGCTTCAGGCTGGGACAGGGACAAGACCAGAATCTGTTTGAACAAGTGGAGCATGTGGAGCTGTTTCTAAAAAAGGTTGCAGGGAAGCCCAGATGTGTTATCAGAAGACTGGGAACAGGAAGAATATTTGTAAATCAGATCTGGGGAAAAAGGGACTTTGTAGCATTACTACCTGGGTGATGACCCCAATGATTGCTCTGCTTTTGCATCATAGCCTGGCACAGCTGTTACCACGATGGTCTAGGCAGCTTTTTAACGGGGAGATATGAGATTCAGTGTCCCAAGGAGGGAATTTATTCTGTTGTAAAGTAGTTGAAACTCTGATGGAAGATGACAGTCCATTTGTAAGCGGAAATATTTGCTAATAGACCACAATGGTAGTCTCTGAACCTCTTCCCCATCTCCTGCTCCAGTACCTTGGGATAGCTGGCCCTGGTGCCAATTGAGACACAGAGATTTCACATTGTATCTCCAAGCAAAGGCAGTGAATGTTTCTTTTCTTAGCTTGGGAGCACATTTCTCGTATGCATGCTTCTCTAATTTTTAAAGGTCCTTTGGCATAGACATTCTGTATCCAACTGTATCTGAGGTCGAAGAATTGTTGTGGAAATAAATATAAATTGTGGTGTGTTAGTACTATCCATGAAATAGCAAAATCTTGAAAAATACAGAAGACACAACAAATGAAATTAGGCTCACTGTACCTGGACTTTGCTGGAAAACAAATAAAGGCTTAATTAGAGATTACGAATTGGGATACACACATAATTTCAATATAAATCTCCAATCTGGCTGACTTGCAAATGCCCTGCCACAATATTGAGTTGTAACTGCACATAAACAATAATCTAGAAGACTATTTGTTTGTCAGATAATGAACTAATGTCCACAGCCTGCCCTAAATACCTAAAAACCTGATAACTCTGTCATGAAGGTAGAGATTAGATTGCTCAGCTGTGACTCTGTGGAAGTTAATCCTTTTATTGCTGTTACCGTAAAATTTCAGACAATAAAGCAGTGTTTCAGTAACATCACATTACCATTTTGCAGGGTTGTGTGATAACCTTTCAACAGTATTTGCAAATTGTTACTCTCTTTTTGAAAGCTGAAGTTAGAAAGATCTCTGCTGACCATGATATCTCAGTTTTGCCCAGGGTGTGTGGATATTTTGCTGTTGGGCTCTGCCTGGGGCTTGTATCTGTGGTAGCAGATAATCTACTGAGAGGCAGCTAGTTCTTAGTTGTATGTAATATTACTTTATATTCAGCCTGCTATGAGCAATCATATGGATTTTTACTGGTTTGTATTCACAGTTTTAGCAAGTGTGTGAAAAAAAATACAGCCTATAATTATATCTACCTGTGCAAAATGGAAAATTAGAATGATTCATCTCCCTTGGAGAAGTCCTTACATTAAACATTTGTTTGACAGTTCTTTGAGAAAAGTCACTGTTTCCTATTTTCAAATAGTAGAAAACACAGAAATATTTTTCTTAACCTTTCATTAATCATGAATTAAATACCTTTAATACCGAGAGTGTAATTTTTCTCCATTCATAGAGGTTTTTGTTTTCGACAATGACCCAATATATCTATGTCTTCTGTTTTTATAGACAAAGTTTGCTTTGAAGTACTGTGAAAGATTTTGTGTATTCTTAGTTAAGACTCCCACATAAAGGCTATATAAATACTGATATGGTTATACACGTGGTCAACTTCTTTTAAATAGCTGAGCAGTTATTGCTTGAAAACTGGATCAGAGGCACAAATGTGCCCTTCTCTTCTCCCATTTTATGTTGCATCACATCACGTGCCACGTGTAAGCTTGTGGTCAGAAGTACCCGTATTTGTTTCTTTTGTCTTATGGAGTGGTCTTGCTGTGCCTCAGGCTCTGTGTCTCCCATCCTGCTGAGTGTGGGAATGCAGGGCTTTGGGTAGGCAATCCCTGTGGAAGCTGCAAAGCTGGGTGGGACTCTGTGAGTGGGAGCTGTTCCTGCTTCTGGGGCAGCTGGATGTGGGTGCCTACATCCCTGCGGGTGAGGGAAGCACATGCTTCTGGCCCCTGGTACCAACAAAGGCTGTATATCCAAGGAAAACTGGCCATGAGGGTAACAGGCTGTGAGGTGTAGGGAGTAGATGCAGTCTTCTGTGTTAGTCTTCTCTCTGACTCTAGGCTACCTTTGATTTCTCCAAACCTTAATGAAAAGTTGGTTCAGAGTCTTTGCTAAAGTGATGGTGGACTTTGTGTTTAACCAGGGGTGGATGCCACAATTGGCAGCCAAATTTAGTTCATTCCCAGCCTGAATATAAATTTGTCTTTTTTCTACTTCCAGTCTTTCTCAGGCCACAGAAGATTGTGGTTGTATGTTAGTCCTACATCGTCCTGGTACTTCTTGCTACTCTGTCCCCTTCCTCCCCACTGAACTGTAACCAGGGTTAGAGGTGTTTGCAGGACTGTCTGTAAGGGGAGGTGGCAGAAGGGTGTTTTCTGACTGAAATTCTGCAGGGCTGAGCAGGACGTAAGCTCAGTGGCAGTGGGGCTCTGCAGCATCAGTACATTCAGCTGGCAACATCTTACCAAACCTCATGTGGACTCCTTTTCAGGAACCAGAATCAATTTTTCCTTTGCACTCTGCTCATTCTCTCAGTGGTGAATACTGGGCTTTGTGTAATCAACCCCTTTGTCTTTTCTGTTACAGAGCTCCAACATGGGAGGCAAACTGAGCAAGAAGAAGAAGGGATACAGTGTCAATGATGAAAAAGCTAAAGACAAAGACAAGAAGGCTGAAGGAGCAGCAACTGAGGAAGAGGAGACTCAAAAGGAGGCTGAGGATGCCCAGAAAACCACAGAGACCACAGAAGTGAAGGAGAACAACAAGGAGGAGAAGGGAGAAAAGGATACTCAGGTCACTGCCAATAAGACGGAAGAAAAAGAAGGAGAGAAGGAGAAAACAGTGACCCAGGAAGAAACCCAGAAAACAGAACCTGAGAAGTCAGAGGCTGTTGTCGATGCAAAAGTAGAGCCACAGAAGAACACCGAACAGGCACCCAAGCAAGAGGAGCCGACTGCTGCCTCTGCTCCTGCTGCCAGTAGCGAAGCACCCAAACCCTCTGAGCCTAGCACCGATGCAAAAGCTTCCCAGCCTTCAGAAGCCACAGCTCCCAGTAAAGCAGATGACAAGAGCAAAGAGGAAGGGGAAGCCAAAAAGACTGAGGCTCCCGCAGCGCCTGCAGCCCAAGAAACTAAAAGTGAAGTGGCCCCAGCTTCAGACTCAAAACCTAGCAGCAACGAGGCTGCGCCCTCTTCCAAGGAGCCCGCGGCAACAGCAGCACCTAGTTCGACTGCTAAGGCCTCGGACCCTGCAGCCCCTCCAGAGGAAGTGAAACCTTCTGAAGTTCCAGCGACTAATTCGGATCAAACCATAGCAGTGCAAGATTAAATTGGACAGCCTGTTGAAACAACCACTTAAAACAACCTGTGTCTTTTTTTTATTTTTTCAGCTATACTAACTCGTTTCAGATCTGAAATAGCAAATGTGTATTGCCCAGAAAAGAAGGAGAAAAAAAAAAAGAGAGAGAAAAAGTGAAAAGGATGTCCCATCAAGTTGGGAGGGAGGGAGGGGGGAGAATCCAAATAGTATTTTTGTGGGGAAATATCTAATATACTTTCTGCCAACTTGACACAAGTCCTGGATTAAAATAAATAAATAAATAAATGGATGTCTGAAAGTACAGCACATCTTTTGTATCTGAACTGCTGTAAATGCACTCCACCAGTGTATCAAAATCTTCTTTTTGTTCTGTAATGGGGTTTGGGAGTGATGCGTTTGATTCTGCCCACTAGGTTTGTGCCAAGGCAATCAGATCTTTATGAAAGCAGTATTTTCTGTGTTTTTTTTTTTTTTTTTTATTTACAGCCTTTCTTATTTTGATATTTTTTTTATGCAGTGGATGAATGCCAACTTTCAGACAAAACCCACTTAGCTGTCCACATATTTCTCAATGCCAATCCTCCAATTCTTCCTCTCCAAATATTTTTTGGGAGTAAAAAGCATTCTCATCCTACTTAGCCTACCTAGATTTCTCATGACGAGTTAATGCATGTCCGTGGTTGGGTGCACCTGTAGTTCTGTTTATTGGTCAGTGGAAATGAAAAAGTCTGCGTTCATTGCAGTTCCAGTTTCTCTTCCATTCTGTGTCACAGACACCAACACACACTCATTGGAAAACAAATGAAAAAACAAAATGTACAATGGATGCATTGAAATTATATGTAATTGTATAAATGGTGCAACAGTAATAAAAGTTAAATAATTTAAAAAATATATAAGTGTAAAGACTGATTAAATCTTCACTTTCACCCCTTGAGAACTAGGCAAAGGAGGTTCTTAGACAAGAGGTATTATGTCTGGGGTGTTTACTTGCATATAAATAGTCATTCTCCAACAGCCACAAGTGTTCTCAGGTGAGGCTGGAAGAAGTGGCCAATGAGAAGTGCATTTCATATATGTTTTATCCCAGACAAAGTAAAAATGGCTTTTGCCTGCCTTAACATGTGAAAAATGCTGTCTTGCTATTTTGAAGAGCCACAGGCATGCTGACAGTGTTTTAATTGGGACTAAGACAGTGGATTTGATAAACTGATCTTTTAAAATGAGGCAATTAATTTCAATCCCAGTCCTATTAAAGTATTTCACTTTGTTCTTTTCCCCATTACTATTGTGTAGGATATAAACAACTGCTGCCACAAAAGGCCAGTCCTGTGTATTTCAAATATGGATAATCTTGCATGACTGAGTAGAGTTTAGCCCAGCATAAACATTTTTTCACCAATTTTGCCTACTTGCTTCATTATTATTCAACAGAACAGCTGAGTAATTTCACTTTCTGCTGAGTGGTGTCATCGGTGGATACGGACAATGATTTCAGGGCAGAGCCTGGGATTCACAAACCAGTTAAAGCAGCATGTTTGGCCCGCCTATTAGTAAACTTTTAGGCAGAGCAGAAGTTCTGAAAGAAGTGGGCAGTAGTAAATAGAAACACAGCTGGTACACATACCAAAGGACTGAGCAGGCTTGTATTTAGTAAATAAGGAAAATGGTGTTTAAATTGGTATAAATTATGTCAAATACTTTCTCTCCATGCAGTGAGGATGATTCACTCTACAGACTTGCATAATACTAATACTAATTTTTTTTCAGAAATACAAACTTCCCATACCATGCTGGCAATATTGTTATGCAGCTGTGCACCTGGGAGAAGCTTACTGGAACAGGCAGGAATAGTTCAGTTTGGTTTAGATCAGGTCATTCATCTCCATGAATTCTTGCACCGCCGTGAAGATTTTGCATCCTTAATGTGATGCTGAATGCAGTCTTACTTAAATTATTTGAGGTAATTAAAAATACCCCTGTGCTCCACAGCTGTATCCAAACCCAGCAGCCTCTGCAGCTGTGGACAGCAATCTCACCACACGTGCTCTTGTTCTCCTAACCTGCTTGCTGATGGCAGTTTCATCCCAACAGGGTCAATGCTGCAAAGAAATGTGCTCCACATGGCTGGAAATCAATGGCATATGGTCAAAGAAATATACACTTGTGTTTGGGAAACTGAGAGTCAGCACAGCCAAAGATCAGTGCACTTCAAATATCAGTACTCTCAAAGAATAAAAAAGAAAAGTTGCTGTATGATGTTTTAAATATTTTTATTAATAGACAGGCCTGCAAAATTGGTTTTTTCTTAGTTGCTAAATTTCTTAATGTACAGCTGATGGTTAAAAAGCATTCTGGCCCAGGCCACTGCTCCAAAATGCTGTTATTCTATACCTACATACACAAGGAAAGAAACAATCTCTGTTCAAAGAGGTTATGAACTAAACATATGTGGTTAATAGAAATGTGATGCATATTGCTTGCCAGAAGAGCCATGAGAAGAAGTGAGAGCCTGGAGGCTTGCTTTTCTTCAGTCCAGTGTCTCATCTCCAAGACATTTTTTTTTCTGCATTATAATCACTCTTTAATGGCAGTAAAAGCATGCTGAGGGTACAGAGCTAACAGGCATGTTAATGCTGTGAGCGTAAGCACACTGCAGATAGCCTCAAAGGGCCCAACCCAACTCTTTTGTGAAAGTGTGCCACAGGAATAGAGAAATTCAACCCTGGGAAAGAACCTTTGCTATTGTTTAGAGCCCCCACAGAGACATGTTTGCAAGGTCTCCCTTGTTTTGCCCTGGAAACTGTCAAGAATCTCTTGCTTTCCTTTCAACAATAGGAAGGTCAGTGCCATTGGCTTTGCTCATACTTTGCTTGCACTTGCACAGCAAAGAGAAGCTCAGATGCCTTTAAATATACAGCAACTTCTTTTCTTTTCTTTTCTCCCTTCCCTTCCCTTCCCTTCCCTTCCCTTCCCTTCCCTTCCCTTCCCTTCCCTTCCCTTCCCTTCCCTTCCCTTCCCTTCCCTTCCCTTCCCTTCCCTTCCCTTCCCTTCCCTTCCCTTCCCTTCCCTTCCCTTCCCTTCCCTTCCCTTCCCTTCCCTTCCCTTCCCTTCCCTTCCCTTCCCTTCCCTTCCCTTCCCTTCCCTTCCCTTCCCTTCCCTTCCCTTCCCTTCCCTTCCCTTCCCTTCCCTTCCCTTCCCTTCCCTTCCCTTCCCTTCCCTTCCCTTCCCTTCCCTTCCCTTCCCTTCCCTTCCCTTCCCTTCCCTTCCCTTCCCTTCCCTTCCCTTCCCTTCCCTTCCCTTCCCTTCCCTTCCCTTCCCTTCCCTTCCCTTCCCTTCCCTTCCCTTCCCTTCCCTTCCCTTCCCTTCCCTTCCCTTCCCTTCCCTTCCCTTCCCTTCCCTTCCCTTCCCTTCCCTTCCCTTCCCTTCCCTTCCCTTCCCTTCCCTTCCCTTCCCTTCCCTTCCCTTCCCTTCCCTTCCCTTCCCTTCCCTTCTTCCCTTTTTTTCTTCTTTTTTCTTTTCCTGCTACTATTTTTGTAGTGAATTTTGGGGATGGATAAAACCCTTAAGTAATGTTAAATTATTAATAATTAAGTGGCTTCATAGAAGCAATGCCTGCCACTTGCCCTGTAGTTTGTTCCGTACACTTAACTCCTGTGTCTGTACAGGACAAGAAACCTCCTTGAAGAAACACTACAACAAAACATTGCAGGATGTGTTGGTGTCCTGTGTGATGGCATTTCCAGGCACGTCTGTGTGGCTGCCAATATCTGAACAGTCAATGACTTCTGAATTTCTGCTGGTGCTTCCTTTGTTCCAGCACTGAACTAGGAGGTCTGTCTGGTGTCTGTCTCACCTGACCATTGCTTCTTCCAGATCACCATGAACTCCAGCTTCATGTAAGTGTACTGAATCAGTGGGTGCATCAGCTCCTTAGTCTTCCTTCAGCAGCTTCCTATCACTACATCACATTTCTGTGAATTTATCCTTATTTAACCAAATAGGGGAGTGTCTCAAAGAAATGTGTCAGATTTGTTGCCACTGCTGCAAGAAAGCATTTTCTTACAATAAATTTCTTTAGTAAATCTTCTGCTATGCTTTCATTGTTGGCTCATTGCTCATAATTCATAGTACTTAAAGTTATTTTTCAAGATTTTTGAGATGCTAGTCATGTGGTTTGCTCTTTTTATTCAACAATACATATTTTCTTTCTGCATTAAACTCTTGACATTTATCTTTACTGCTTATCTTGATTTAGTTGACTTTCTGACTCTCATTTAATTATTTATATATATTAAATTTTTACATCCTGTTTTATATTTAACCTCCCCACCACACTTCATGCAACATGAATGCACATCAGCTGTTAAGTGGTCAGATTTAGAAACCATGGCACTGCAGCCATGGGAAAAACATAGCCACCAAAAGGAACAGCAATGTACCAGTGGTTTCCTTCACTGCTATGAAAAAGTGTTTTCTCCAGGACTGGCAGAGCTTTGCTTGCTGCATTTATCATGGTGGGGTCAAGGTCTGCTGTAGAGTTCGGTAAGCAGAAGGAGTTTTTTTGCCTTTTTTTTTGTTGTTTGTCGGGGAAGACAGGAAAGGTGCAAATGTTTTGAAACATGGCCACAGGAGTTGGGACACAGAAAACATGACACAATCCTTTTGTTTCCTGGAGACAGCACTATTGTGTGTTAGCTGGCCACCACAGGGCTACCAAGCCTTTTCAACTTGTCAGGATTCTTGTCTCTCTTTTAACATATTTGCTTGTCTATGCAATAAATATTAATTCTGGCTCTTACTGTCATAGCTGTTTAAATGTATTTTCTCTATCTTTAACTTATCTTCCTTCCACAATTTAGATCTGACATCTCTTTGAGCCTCCTATTGCATCAGGAGGCTAACTGAATTTCTTGACATTTTGGCTTGATCAAGATGATTTTTCTGAGATGGTTCAGTTAGGTAAGATACAGATTTCATGGAGTTACAAGTTTGTTTCACTTACTAAACAAAAATTCAAAAGCTTTACAGAGTATACCTGCTGAGGTTAGAGTGAAATCTTCCTACAAGTCCTGTCAGTCTGTGTTTTGTAATGCCATGAGGTTGCTGCAAAATACATAACTTGCTAAACATCACTTCTGGTTCAGCTGGCCAATAATTTTAGATCAACACTTGGTAAAGTTTGACATTCAGTCTCTCTTGAGAATCAAACAAATTGTACTAAGCTCAATTCAAGAACAATTCAAGAAACAGAACTGGTCACAATAGGAGATAAAAAAGTCATAGAATAAATTTTTTAAACTTTGTTTAGTTCCATCCTGCTTAGAAACAAGGTTCACCCTTAGATGGTCTTTCCACTTTGGGAACAGGGCAAATACCATAGCAGCAAGACTGTAAGTTTCCTAGCCACAAAATGGTCTTTAAAACTTTACAGTTAGTACTTTAAGCCTTACATTTGAATAGCAGATGTTTTAATCACAGGCTACACACACCCCTGAGAAGCAGGGCTACTAGAGGTACCCAGTGTGGTGTGGCAGGAGGACAGCTGCTGGTCTTTCGCTTTATCCCTGTGGCTCTCATTTAGCACCATTTTCCCCATCCTTGTTTTATTTGGTTTCTACTAGTGATAGGTTTATTATGTCTTAATGAGAATAGTGTGCAGTAATGACAGACTCTACTGATGCTCCACAAATCACATTTTTCTGGATTTGAATTTTTGCATAGGGTTCTGGCATTACTTGCAGGATTCTGGACTGAGGTGGCAGAAACTTCTGTGTTTACCAAGTAGAATATTAATTGATTAATATTAATTGATCTGGAAAGGAGAAGCTGAAAAAATAGTTATGTTATTGGAAATTGGTGCATGCCTGAAAAAGCAAAGCCTTTAGTCTACAG